GGAAAGGTAAGGAACAATATAGAAGAAAAGGAGGAGAAAAGGGAACAAGGGCACTGCAGGTTCCGTGCAGGTCAGAAACATCTGGCTACAGTGGGGATAAACAACAGATAAAATGCCCCCCGGAAACTACAGCAGATATAGATCAATGAAAAAGACATAGAAGAAAAGGAAAGGTAAGGAACAATATAGAAGAAAAGGAGGAGAAAAGGGAAGAGGATAAGGTCGGGAAAGAGACAAGGGCACTCCAGGTTCCCTGCAAGTCAGAAACATCTGGCTACAGTGGGGATAAACAACAGATAGAATGCCTCCCCGGAAACTACAGCAGATATAGATCAATGAAAAAGACATTGAAGAAAAGGAAGGGTAAGGGACAATATAGAAGAAAAGGAGGAGAAAAGGGAAGAGGATAAGGTCGGAAAAGAGACAAGGGCACTACAGGTTCCCTGCGGGTCAGAAAAATATGGCTACAGTGGGGAAAACAACAAATAGAATGCCTCCCCGGAAACTACAGCAGATATAGATCAATGAAAAAGACATAGAAGAAAAGGAAGGGTAAGGAAAAATATAGAAGAAAAGGAGGAGAAAATGGGCAGAGGATAGGATCGGAAAAGAGACAAGGGCAACTCCAGGTTCCCTGTGGTTCAGAAACATATTGGCTACATGTGGCGAAAAACAACTGATGAATGCCTCCCCGGAAACTACAGCAGATATAGTCAATGAAAAAGACATAGAGAAAAGGAAGGTAAGGACAATGTAGGAAGAAAAGGAGGAGAAAAGGGAAGAGATCAGGTCGGAAAAGAGACAAGGGCACCCAAATTCCCGCGGGTCAAAAAACATAATGGCTACATGGCGAAAACAACTGATAGATGCACCCCCCCCCGGAAAAACTACAGCAAATATGTCAATGAAAAAGACATAGAAGAAAAGGAAGGGTATAAGGAACAATATAGAAGAAAAGGAGGAGAAAAGGGAAGAGGATAAGATCGGAAAAGAGACAAGGGCACTCCAGGTTCCCTGCCGGTCAGGAACATCTGGCTACAGTGGGGAAAACAACAGATAGAATGCCTCCCCGGAACTACAGCAGATATAGATCAATGAAAAAGACATAGAAGAAAAGGAAGGGTAAGGAACAATATAGAAGAAAAGGAGGAGAAAAGGGAAGAGGATAAGGTCGCAAAAGAGACAAGGGCACTCCAGGTTCCCTGCGGGTCAGAAACATATGGCTACAGTGGGAAAAACAACAGATAGAATGCCTCCCCGGAAACTACAGCAGATATAGATCAATGAAAAAGACATAGAAGAAAAGGAAGGGAAAGGAACAATATAGAAGAAAAGGAGGAGAAAAGGGAAGAGGATAAGATCGGAAAAGAGACAAGGGCACTCCATGTTCCCTGCGGGTCAGAAACATATGGCTACAGTGGGGAAAACAACAGATAGAATGCCTGAAGCTACAGCAGATATAGATCAATGAAAAAGACATAGAAGAAAAGGAAGGGTAAGGAACAATATAGAAGAAAAAGGAGGAGAAAAGGGAAGAGGATAAGGTCGGAAAAGAGACAAGGGCACTCCAGGTTCCCTGCGGGTCAGAAACATATGGCTACAGTGGCGAAAACAACAGATAGAATGCCTCCCCGGAAACTACAGCAGATATAGATCAATGAAAAAGACATAGAAGAAAAGGAAGGGTAAGGAACAATATAGAAGAAAAGGAGGAGAAAAGGGAAGAGGATAAGATCGGAAAAGAGACAAGGGCACTCCAAATTCCCTGCGGGTCAGAAACATGTGGCTACAGTGGGGAAAACAACAGATAGAATGCACCCCCCCGGAAACTACAGCAAATATAGATCAATGAAAAAAACATAGAAGAAAAGGAAGGGTAAGGAACAATAAAGAAGAAAAGGAGGAGAAAAGGGAAGAGGATAAGGTCGGAAAAGAGACAAGGGCACTCCAGGTTCCCTGCAGGTCAGAAACATTTGGCTACAGTGGGGAAAACAACAGATAGAATGCCTCCCCGGAAACTACAGCAGATATAGATCAATGAAAAAGACATAGAAGAAAAGGAAGGGCAAGGAACAATATAGAAGAAAAGGAGGAGAAAAGGGAAGAGGATAAGATCGGAAAAGAGACAAGGGCACTCCAGGTTCCCTGTGGGTCAGAAGCATATGGCTACAGTGGCGAAAACAACTGATAGAATGCTTCCCCGGAAACTACAGCAGATATAGATCAATGAAAAAGACATAGAAGAAAAGGAAGGGAAAGGAACAATATAGAAGAAAAGGAGGAGAAAAGGGAAGAGGATAAGATCGGAAAAGAGACAAGGGCACTCCAGGTTCCCTGCGGGTCAGAAACATATGGCCAAAATGGGGGAAAACAACAGATAGAATGCCTCCCCAGAAACTACAGCAGATATAGATCAATGAAAAAGACATAGAAGAAAAGGAAGGGTAAGGAACAAGATAGAAGAAAAGGACGAGAAAAGGGAAGAGGATAAGATCGGAAAAGAGACAAGGGCACTCCAGGTTCTCTGCGGGTCAAAAACAGATGGTTACAGTGGGGAAAACAACAGATACAATGCCCCCCCGGAAACTACAGCAGATATAGGTCAATGAAAAAGACATGGAAGAAAAGGAAGGGTAAGAAGAGAAGGAAAAGAAAAGGGAAGAGGATAAGGTCGGAAAAGAGACAAGGGCACTCCAGGTTCCCTGCAGGTCAGAAACAGATGGCTACAGTGGGGAAAACAAAGTAACGTCGTCCATTGCGGTCCCGCTGATTTTGCTTGTTTTGACAACAAGCATCTTGCTATTTCGACAACCCCTATGGTACTTTCTCTCACCATGGATTTTGCGCCATGTTCAAATGCCTTGCGTTTTACAGCACGTTGTGTCCATTTTGTGCTATTCACAATGGGTTTTACACGTCCATGTGCAAAAGAGCGAAAAAAACACGCATGGAAGCCAGGAATATGTTAGGATCGTGTTGCATACATGATAGACTAGACATAGAAACATACTTTGCATACTTGGACATGTACATTGATTCTTATATACATATATACATGTATATATATATATATCCATATGTATGTATATATATATATATATATGTGTGTGACTTGACACACAGACACATGCACATATATAAATAAATATATATATATATAATATCTACATATTCATAAATTCCAGACAATCAGAAATATCTAGACCTACAGGAAAGCACATCTCTGACACTGCAGCCACGGTTGCAGTGACGCATCCAAATGTTTTCAAGAAACAATGATACCCAGGTAAAGACAATATATCGACCAATACACCCCCAGGGAACTTGTGTCACATCACAACATGTCTTACATCACATCACAACGTCATTGTAGCCCCACCCCAGACCCAACCCCATCTCTGGCGTAAGATCACAACATGTCTTACATCACATCACAACGTCATTGCAGCCCCACCCCAGACCCAACCCCGTCTCTGGCGTAAGATCACAACATGTCTTACATCACATCACAACGTCATTGCAGCCCCACCCCAGACCCAACCCCATGATCACGTGCATCGTGCAAAAATGCATGAATTCCCCGGGGCGGTATTGGACGACGTCAGCGAAAACAACAGATAGAATGCCTCCCCGGAAACTACAGCAGATATAGATCAATGAAAAAGACAAAGAAGAAAAGGAAGGGTAAGGAACAATATAGAAGAAAAGGACAAGAAAAGGGAAGAGGAGAAGAAAAAGGGCACTCGTCATTCTCCTGCAGAAAATTACGCCCGCCGGGGGGGGGGGGCAAACGGGCCACCATCACGCGAAGCCAAAACCGCATTCTAACTTTGATTTTAACGGATATGTTTTTTTTTTTTTTCGCGCCTTTTTCTGCCTGTGCTTCTGCGCTCTGGGGATGCACCCTGTGTTAGGGGCGGGGCCTGCCTCCGGTTTTAGGAGGCGGGTAACCGGGAGGGTGCCGCCGGGACCTCGTACCGGGTGTCAGCGAGGAGGTCCGGCAAGTCCGGCGCGTGGCCGCCGAGGGTGTCGCCGTGAGGCAGCAACTCGTTGGGCGGCGACCGCCGCGATAGCCGACCAACGTAGTTGCCAGCCGGCGGTATATTTGCTTGACCACTACCACAACAATAATTTGAATAATGTATGAATACAACAGACAAACATGAATAAAAACAGATAAAGGTAGATTGACACAACAGATTCACACTTACAGTAGAGAAAAGTCAAAAGACGTTTGGTTGCCAAGATCGACTGAAATCATTGACGCAGCTTACTTTTACACTAGACCTCGTTGCCATTTCAGGCAATGATCACCGCTGGACAGAGAAGTGGCCAAAAGCATTTGGCCTCTTTTCCTGGTCCAAGTCGTTTGACTACAAGAATGAAGCGGATTGGAAGGCTAAATTGGAACTCGTGCATGAGCATGCATGGAGAACTTGGAAGAAAATCAAAGACCAAGACAGCATGAGGCCCTTTAAGGACCAGTTGAGACTCTGTGAAGGGCAAGTGAGGCAACGGGGAGGTGTTCTTGTGCCACAGCTGATTGAAAATCCAGACCTCAATTTGACAGGATGCCTCCAAAGAAGAAATGCTGAAGTCCAAGACCAGTGCCACTGGCCTGTCTGTTGTAAAGACAGGTTTTGCAGCCAGCCGCCAACAAGACTGGAAAAAGAAGTCAGCCGTTCATTGATCTCAAGTTTTTTACATCACTGATACTTCGATCATTATTGTCAACCTGAGATTCTCTGAGAGGATTTCCAGGACACACTTTGGATTCTGCAATTTCACGCCGCCATCCACTGACTGAGATTTTAATTGCTTTGTACATCAGACGACATGAGGAATGTGACAGTCAACCAGTCACAATTCAGAGAGCTTAGCATCAGTATCTCAATGCACCCCACATACACATGACATGTGACATGTCCGACGACAACGGACAGGCTTCACTTAGTCAATCAGTCTTTCAGTCTACTGTATCCTTGTGTCAGTGAATCGCCATGAAGCGCTCCATGTCCATGACGCCTGCCCTGCTGGTTTCCTATGGCTCTGATGGTTTGAAGCCTTTGGCACCAAATGATGATGATGGCATCGACGAAGAAGTCTTGCAAAAAAAAAACATCAAGGTTCAGACGCTGAGGCGACCGAATCGACAATGTCGTCTTCCTGAGACTTCGTCTGTAGTGGAAACTGGGCCTGAGACAATGACAGAACAAATTGAGCAGAGGCCAAGACTTGATTTGCAAGAACAACGAGATCCAGTTGATGAAAAATTCAAGGATGTTTGCTGCCGAGTTCTGTCATACTTTTTTAGTTTTGTCAGAGTTGCCGAGGTGGGGATTGGTGGCTAAAGTTGCAAAGGTGTTTTTTTGTTACATGTTAATTCATGGGCCTCATTTTTACTGTTACAGTTAACATCAAGCCATTTTTTCATTTGTTCTTGCTATTCAATGATTTCGCCATCGCAGGACAAGTTTGAAATTGTCCAACACTTCAGCAAGATGATCGAAAGGTTTCTTCAATGTGATGCAGCCATGGCTGGTGGAAAGGCTGCTGGGCTGTCGCCAAAGATTCTTCACTAATGTTTTGGTGAACGAGCACCTGGGCAGACCCTTGAGATGATGCTGCTCAAGTTGATCATGAGAGGCTACCAGCTACTGGAGCCAAATGAGCAATTCTGAATTGCATCATTTCTGTGAATGCTTTTCAAGAGTGGGACACCTCACACGGGAGCTGCTTCGAGCTGGCTTTACAGGGTCGGCTTTCGACAGTGAGTATACAACAGACCACAACTTGCTCGAGCCTTCTGGGTTCGAACTTGTCACCAATTGCTTGACTGCACTTCGACGTCATGCGCTGCTCTGGTGTGGGACGTCTTGTTCGTCTTTTGTAGGGTCTTTTGTAGAGCCCAGTCATTGAGAAGCGCCTTCAACTCCTGGTTAGGCGATGAGTCGAGGGGATTTGTTTCCATAGGAAACGCGTTGGGAGAGTTGAGTGCGATGTTGATGTTCGTTGCCCATTGCCTCTCTATTTGGGTCGTCCTGGAGCAGCCACACTCAAGCCGCCTCCCCAACATGCCATCAATGACTACAGTGCTGTACTTCTGCCAAGCCCAGAAGTACACCACATACATGGGACAATTTGGCGGCTGTTTGATGAAACAGCTTCAGCTGCGGTTCAATCGGGCAAGGATCACAAACTTGGAGTGCCCACGGCCGGCAGCTGGTGGAGGTGACTTACTTGTGAGTAGAGACGGCGATGCTTTCACTGGAAACAAAGACAATTTAGTTTCGTCACAAGTTTACACACGCTCCCTCGGCAGAGCTGTAGCTCGCATTTGCCGAGATGAGTGGGGCAGTGTCTAATCAAATCTTGTGTGCGTCTTGCTGTTGCTGTTAAACGATTTTCATTGGGTGGATGGCCCCCCAATTTCGACCCAGGACTAAGTGACTGACTCACTGTTAGTTGGATAGCAGCTGGCAAGACATTTTCACACACCGACTCTTGGTGCTGCACTTATGCGGGTTAAAACGACTGTGAGTTGTGCATCATCATTGATGATAACATGAGGAATTGTTCCAAGATCCGTTTGGCGACCTGATTTCCTGAGGTCTACTGGCACAACTGCTTTGCCTGATCCCAGTTCATGATTGTCAGCTGCCGGAACATGTTTGAGAGTGTAAACCGAATCAATCGAATTGATTTGTTCCACTGATTTTGACTTTTGTGTGATGATTGCCTAGGTGCAGCCTGGACACGATGCTTTGTCTCCTGCGTCTGCTGTAGGCAGCTGTTGTGATTTATTTATTTTTTGAAGGCAAGAAAATTTGTGCAGCAGTTAACAGGTGATAAACCTAAACAAAACCAAAAAAAATACTTCACTTCGAATGATCCCCACCATGACATTTATACATTTTCTTACTGGCAAATCTTCTGGCATTCTATCTGGCATATTTTCTGGCATATCTTCTGGCATTCTATCTGGCAAATCTTCTGGCATTCTATCTGGCATATCTTCTGGCATTTTTTATCCCCGTTGGGTGTTCAACTTAGGGTGCAGCACCAGGTTTTCACCCCAAACACCTAATTTAAAAACCTGGAGGGCCAAGCTTTGCTTTGCTTTGCGCCCGTTCGAGTTCGCAACTACGGTCCCTGCAGGACATGGGCAAGCCACATCGATTCGATGTGGAAAAAATTGCTCAAGCCTCCTCACACAAAAACTGTACAAAGAGATCGCTTTGTAAAGGCCACTCTGGTTGCGCGGCTGCTTCGGGCCAACTTTTGTAGTGAGGAAACTGGCGCCGGCAAAAGTTATATAAATGATCATCCCACCGTTTGAGTGGACGCCCTACTCGCCGTACTGGTTGTTCTCCAAAATTTTTCTTCCAGTTATCCAAGGGGGACCACTGTATCACATTTTTTGGCCAGCCTGGTGTTCGAGAGATCCTCATTGCAAAAGAGAACAATTTTTTTGCAAACCTCCTTTTCCAGTTGATGATTGGATGGTATTGTAAAGCTGCTTGCACCCGTGCGTTAGCTTGCACCCTGGAGGGCCAAGGCATGGGCAAAAAAAAAGTGAAACGATAAGAAACCGACCCCACCCCTATTTCTGAAAATGAAAAATCAAGTTACAAAAGATTAAACTCAGTGTGTCTGGGGTATGTTGAAAATTGAAAATATAAATGGCACAAGAGATGAAAACAGCAGTGCTCAGCGTATGTTCAAAAAAACCTAAAACTGTAAAATCAAAATTTCCCCAGAGAACGGTCAACCACACCCTTTTCATCCCATCCAGTTTCTGTTTTGAACTTTGCCGGAACAGCTCTCCATGTTACACCACGCATGTGAGCCAACCCATCCTGAACCAACGTCCCAAAACACACTACAAACTTCAATCCGAAAATTTTCATCTCACACATCCCCGCCCCGTCCCCTGGCAACAACTGCTCCACGTGTTGAGTGTTGACAACATTGCAGCAACTGGCTACACACACCGGGCAAACACTGGCAGAGAGCGAAGCGGCCCTGCCAAACAGGCTCCGCGAGGCTGGGGCTTGCCAACCCCCCGGCACCCTAGTGCACCTACCATAGGCCGTGACCGTGTTCCAACCGCTCAGGAAGCACTGTTGCACACATTCTTGGGGGAAAGATTGGCATCAACAGCTGCCACCTTGGCCCAACAATGGGGGGCACTTACAAGCCACGTTCCGACCACATCCTCAACAATGCCGCCCCGGCGGACCCAAGCCCAGCCGAGCAAGACTCTTCCAGTGCCAGTAGCTCGTCCGACAGCAGTTCCAGCGACACAGCTACCAATGACACCAGTGCCCCCCGACGCCGGCAGCCACGCCAGGAACAAACGGCACCAGCAGAACCCGACACTAGCACGACCCCAGCTAACCGACAGCAATTCCACAATTTTTTGGCTACCCTGGACGGCGTGGATCTGCAAACGGCTCTGAAGACCAAGTTCTCCGAGTTCCAGTCCCCAGTCCCCACCACCCTTCCTCAAAGGCCGCGTCCGTCACGCTTTGGGCCTGGCTTTAGCAGCCATACAGCAAGCGGAAACACAGCAGCAAAGCGTTCGAGCGTGGAAACTTTGGCTCCTCCTTCCACGCATGTTGCTCCACCGTCCGACCGGCGTGCGCACACTTCCCAAACCTGAATGGCACGCCCGGATCACAGCCTTCCAAGCTGGGGAATGGCTGGCCCTGCTGCGAGCAGCACAAGACAGCACGACCAACAACAGCACACCAACAGAACAGGCCCCAACAGCCCAACAACAAGCCCGACGAGCCCGCCAGCTAGTCCACCAAGGTGAACTATCGGCAGCCCGATAAGCACTCACGGCAGGGCCCTTGGCACCCCACACAGAAGCAACTTTGCAAGAACTTCGGGACCCAGCACGCCGCCCAGCCCAACCATACCAGCCGATACCGGAACACGTTCTCCAATTCCAGCCTGCCAGCCCCACCAACCTGCCAGCAGCCACCCTTCTGGCCAATGTCCGCCGAGCACGTAAGGGCGCCGCCCCAGGCCCTTCCGGCCTCACGGCCGAAACTTTGAGGCTGATTTTAGATGAGGAAAGCATCACAAACAATTTTGTCGCTGTAGCCACACGCTTGGCACAGGCAAACATCCCCCCAGCAATCAGTGCAGCCTTAGGTCTCGGGCGGTTAGTGGCCTTGTCAAAACCAAATGGTCGGGTCCGGGGCATTGTCGTCGGCGATCTTCTCCGCCGAGTGGTGGCACGCAGCTTAGCTCAACACCACGCCCACACGTTCCAGCAGGCGTGCAGCCCCACCAGTATGCGTTGTCCACCCGTGCTGGGTCGGAGGCCGTCGTCCATGCAATCACGTCCCTCACAGAACTTGAGCCAACCAGCACCATTCTCTCGATTGATGGCATCGGAGCTTATGACACCATAGCACGCGCCAGCATGTTACAAGCACTCGCGGAGGTGGAGGGGGCCAACACTTGCTTGCCATTTGTTCGGCAATTTTATGCCACCACATCCTCATACATTTGGCACGACCACAGCGGCCAGCCCCACGAAGTTCTGCCAGCTGAAGGCGGGGAACAGGGAGATCCCCTCATGCCAGCCCTTTTCTCCCTTGGCCAGGGAGCAGCCCTCCAAACGGCGCACGGCAACCTCCAGCCGGGGGAAACCTTGTTCGCTTTCCTCGATGATGTGTATATGTGGTTCTCCTGCCACATCGGGTGCGCCCAGTCTACGACCTTTTGCAACACCACCTGTTCGCGCATCCAACTCAACGCAGGCAAAACACGTGTCTGGAATCAAGCAAACCAAACCCCCCCAAACATCCAGACCTTGGGGCCGGACGTCTGGGTCGGCGGCAACGAAACCCCCACCAGGGACCAACACAACTTCTTGCTCTAGCGCCTTCCAGACCTCGAAGACTTGCAGGCCGCCTGGTTGCTTCTCCTGTTCTGCGCCAGCCCGCGTTGCCACTACCATCTCCGCATGCCCCCCCCAACATCACAGCAGCCTTCTCCACAGGACACGATACGGCAGTTGCAGCCTGCCTCACAGACCTTTTGGACACAGCACCAATGCCAGCCACTTCACTCGCAATCGCCCACCTCCCTCTCAACCAAGGGGAGCTCGGCTTGGCTTCGGCAACCATTCTGGCGCCTCTTGGGCTTCATGGGCCGACGCCATCCCGGTGTTACAACAACAAGCACCGGAAGCAGTCGCACAGATACTTCAACAGTTGCAAGCTGACCACACACGGTCCCACGCGCTGGAAGCAGCCCAACGCGCAGCCACCGCCATCCAAAACTACGGTTGGCAACCGCCTGATTGGCAACACATCGCCGACGGGGTCGCCCCTCCCCGTTTTCACCACAACTTTGAAGACGGCGTTGCGCTGGGGAGAGGATGGCAACACAAAGCAGCTACAGCCACACACACACAGCATTCCGAGCTGAAGTCCGCGATCGGCTGGACCCCGGGAGCCAAGCGCTGCTCGAATCACAAACAGGGCCACACGCCAGCCGAGCATTCACCACAATCCCATACCACAATGACAACAGCTACCCGAGCCACCTCTTCCGCCTG